ATTATTTACAATGTTCGGACTGTTGTACTCGTCTTGGTTGCCAAATTCACAACATTTGATTTTATTTTGATGCACTGATTCCTTAAGTTTTCATATCTTCCAGTGATGTTCTCTATTATTTCAACCTCATCCCACAGGGCGGTGATCTTCTTTTTCCTCCATATATGATCTTATTATATACTGGCAGAATAAAGGTTTAGCAATGGACTTGCCATTACCACCATCAATGGCTAGCATATACATGGAATACTTTGAGGAAATGGCATTAGAATCAGCATCACTAAAGCCAACTCTATGGCTGACACCTTCATACTCTGGCCACGCCAAGAAGAGGTCCAGCTATTACTGGACTCTGTGAGCTCTGTAAGATCATCGATACAGTTCACAATGGAGAGAGAAAACAACAACAAACTAGCATTCCTGGATGTAGTAATATCTTGAACAGAACATAGGTTCAAGACATCCATATACTGCAAGCTAAGATTTACCAGACAATACCTCAACTTCAACTCCCACCATCAATACAGTGTTAAAAAAGGGATTTTCCACTGCTTAAACATCAAGCAAAAGTCATAAGTGGTGATACAGAGACATGAACAAGAAATGGTCAGTATAAACTGTGCGAGAAAACGGGGGGGGGGATTCTTGCAACACAAAAACGAATGTCTACTTGCGAACATGAAAGAAACGCCTTCTTGCGAACCTGAAACGAACACTTTATGACAGCAAACAAGCAAAACAGCACCCAAGACTGCTGCTGACGGACAACCGACAGCAACGGCTTTTGTCGCCCAAGAAAAGGCGACAACACACACACTCAGTTCGAGGACGCTTCCGCGCATGCTCATTACACTCCTCCCTGATCTCAAGATCACACAAATGGCAATGTGGGGCAGGCCGTTTCTGCCTGGTGCTCTGTATTAGTGGTATGGTCTCAAGCGCTTCCTCAGTGGTTCTCTCTTCAGACGTCTCGCTGCGTTCATCCCGCATAGGTTCATCATGTGCACTACTCTCTGAGGTGTGCTCTTCCTGTGATTTTATATATACCATCGGGGCTTCATCATCAGAAGAACTCACGTGGTTGCCGACGGAATAATCCTTCCCGCACACTGGGCACACATCTTTTATGTGGCGCGGTATTCCATCAACAGAGACGGAGTGTGGACTATTAATTTGTGTCACCGTACCCTTGTTGAACTGTGTCGTACACCTTCTGTGTGGATTTTTCACCCAGACAGTGTCTCCTACCATATAAGGATTGGCAACTGTCGTCACGCATCAAAGCTGTGTCGATACCCTTAATGCGAACCCTGTAGGTGTAGGTTGCATTCGCCGGTGCAGTTGAAGCTGTTTTATTGTCCTTTGGGGTGACGTTGTGCCAATATACAGCTTCCAAAACTGAACACCATGTTCTCATCGCGATGCGCTTTATTGTATGATGGGATCTCTCAACTATCCCATTTCCCGATGGTACGTGGACACAGCGAAATCGTATTTGTACATTCCACATCTTTGCAAATGCAGCAAACCTCTCTCCACAAAACACTGCGCCATTATCCGTAAGCAGCTCAACTGGCGGCCCTCTTTCACAAAACACTACTTCCAGCTCCTTGATGATGCTAGCAGAGTCTTGGTGGTGCAAGAGCTTCCAAATGACAAAACGACTGGGGCCGCAGTCTATCAGCGTCAGGTATAGTTGATGTCTGAAATGTGTTACATCCATTGCAACCTTGTGCCAATTTTCCGCGACATCAAGCCTGCCCGGTTTCCAACACGCTGGGTCGATTGACTGGCATTCCTTGCATCCCCTAACCACCGCTTGCACCTCAGCTTTTGTTACTCTTGAGTTGATCAACTTCACAAAATAGAGTGTTCTCGTCACACCAGGATGTCCGCTGGATTGATGAATGGCTCGTACTTGAGCAACATCTCGCTCTTCAGCCACAGCACACATAGGTTCTCTGGGTTCCGTTATTTTGCGCATTTCATTTAACCATCGCTGCGGTACTCTAGTAAGTTGGTCGGCTCGATTGTTGCACGACTTGACAAGCTCTACATTAATGTCCAGCTCGTATTCTAAGGCCAACTCTTGGAGTGTGGCTAGCCAACGTCTGATTAGCATCTTGGAGGCTGCCTTGGTGCGCACTCTCGTCTGTCCGGACAGAGTGTCAGCTACCCAGCAATGCATACATGCTGAGTCTGTCTGTAAATGAATGTTTTTAGCCTTCCATTGTAATGCAAGGTTGACACCTCACAACACATCCACGACACCAATGCAGTTTTCCTTGCTCCTCCCAGACATGCAATCCCAACACGCGTGTGCCAATTCTTAACCGCTCCGGGGTCTTACTTGACAGACCAAACTGCTCCAAATTTTCCTTGACGCGGACCACAGAACACACACTCTCATTAACAAAAACGTTATCAATATAAGAGGAGGAGGCTGCATTGATGATCTCGTCCTAGCTCAAGACGGTATTAACAATGGCCCGCATGATTAAAGGGGCAACATTGAGCCCAAATCCTAAGCGGGTTAGACAATACCTTTGTCCCTTAATCTCCACTGTTTAGAATGGCCAAAGGGACTTGTCGATGTGTACCTGCAGATAGGCCTGGCATAGGTCCAGCACTGCAGTATTTGGTCCTTGCTGACGCCATTCCCGTAATTTTTGAGAACAAACATCTGCGTTGGCCACGTACGCGTCAACGTACTCATTGAGTTCCCGATAGTCCATAATGGGCCGAACCTTCTGTTTGTTTTCCTGCAGAATGGCCATGAGGGGGATTAAACCCTTTGGGGGTCCGAGCTCCTCCTCTGGGTAAGGAAGCAGCCAGCCATTATCTATTTAAATCTGGAGTTCCCAATCATACTCCTCCCAAATTTGTGCGGGAGCTGGATATTCTGCCAGTCTATTTCTTAACATACCCGGAGGTTGGTTGCAAGCTAGTGACTAGTGATTGTGTGCATCCTGTATCCACCAGAGCTATACGTGGTATTCCATTGATACGAACTGTCACTACAGGCAATGTACCATTTACAAGGGTTTTGGGGAGGAGATTGGCGCTGAATTCTCGCCCCCTTGCCCGTTTCCCGGACAACACCAAGCAATGTGCCCTTGCCGATGACATTGATAGCAAGTGATGTTCCGTCGGTGCTTGGTACCAGCACCTTTGGATGGTTCACAACCCAGGAGACAATTGCTTGCCCTATGATTGGGTCCATCACATTTATAGCACCTTGTGTGCACATCTGTTTCCTTCAACTGTGCAGCCACTGTGGCCTGCTCTGTAGAACCAGTGCACTTCTTTAAAATAGTGCGAGCTTGTGCCAGCGCATGTGACTAATCCAAGTCTTCCATCCGGGATGACGCTCTTAAAAGCTCCTCTGCATGCTCAGACAATCCAGTAACGAATGCACACTGCAAACATTTTTCTGTTACGCCACCAAACAGAACCACAAGTCTGCCAAAAGACGTCTCCCCGGCTGAAGGCGACATGCTGCAAACTGCTTCCACGTGGAGAAGGGATCTAAGGCGAAATCAGTGTATAATGCTTTCTTAACGCAATTGAAGTCTGCGCGCTTCTCCTCACTCAATTGCTGGTACACAGCATATGCGCCAACTGTCAAATGCATCAGGATAACACACTCAATTCACTTCACACCGCTCAACTGACATATTAGTTCCGCCTTCTCCAACCATTCCACTACCGACTGTCCAGAATCGCTTCCGTCAAACAGTGGTATCAGCTTCGGGTCGAAGGCCATAATGCCGAAATAGCATGTGCGAGAAAACGGGAGGGGGGGGACAACTTCTTGCAACAAAAATGAATGCCTATTTGCAAACCTGAAATGAACGCCTTCTCTTCCGAACGAAAACTTTACGATAACAAATGAGCAAAACGGCACCCAAGACTGCTGCCAACGGACGACCAACCGCAACGGCTTTTGTCGCCCAAGAAAAGATGCCAAATGACTCGCATGTCTTCTTGTAGTCCTCGGTCGAGTCCGTTATGGTATTCCAAAGTGTGCCTGGCAACAACACACACATGCAATTCAAGGACGCTTCCGCGCATGCTCGTTACATAAACAGTAGCCTATAATGTAACAACTACCATGACAACAGCTCCAACAAACTGGGATAGAAGTGTGCAAGAGAATAACAGCTCTCAGAAAACAGCCTTGTTCTGCCTACCCTATGTAAAGGGATCATCAGAAAATGTACAAAAGATTTGTGCTCCATATAACATCAGGACAACCTTCAAAAGTGATTCAACACTTCAGATACCTCTTTCAAGTAAGACCTCCCATATGTCAACAAAGATGAGGTCAACAGTCCGAACATTGTAAATAGTGTAAATAAGTTCTAGCTAATTTTCTAATTTCATTTTTGACTTCTTGTGCATGCAAAATATGGCCATGATTATAGCCTTTGCCCTTTTCCTCTCTCACTTGCTCGGCTTGAAATGTTTGACTTAGTCTAGTCATGAATACTATAGATGGGTGATCATTTGAAATAACAAGAAAACAGAATCCAAAAACTTGTATCTTTATTGTTAATATCTTTGTAACAATGCATCCATGGCATTTACAAGTAATTCAACACATTGATGGAAAATTTCAATCATTGCAGTTTTATGTCTCAATTGAAATTTCTGCCACAATTGTGTTGATCATAACTGTACTATTCACAATCATAATTTTATTTTATATATATATATATATATATATATATATATATATATAATAATTATATGATAATATATTATATAATATATAATTATATATAATAATTATATGATAATATTATATAATTATATATTTCAAAAATTTTAATTTGTATTTCAGACCTTGATATCTTTGTCTTTGTTGATATTTATATTATAAAACCTGGCAATACCACCAACTATAACACACCAGGCATATTTCATGATGACAACTACAAAATATTTTTGCCTGTTATTCAAAGTTTGTTAAAGAATTTAAACATTCCTTTCATTAGACTTGGTAGATGTCGAAAGTGGTAACCCGTCTCCAATGAGCCGGTCCTTTACAGGACAGGATATCATGAGTGCCAGTGCTGAAGTTACAGATGATATTCCGGATAAAGTTGTTGTTGAAATGGAGAGTGCCCCAGAAGAGCAAACTGATCAGACAACATCCTTACAATTAGAGAACCGATTGTTACGAAGTGAGATAGAATCTCTGAATCAAGAAATGGCTTCCTTGGTTGAACGAGCCCGAGCATCGCAACAGGGTAAGTGTAAATTCCTTTTCATATATTTTGGCACCTGTCACTTGAGGGCTGAAAAACTTGTGTTTTGATTTGCTTGTTTGTAATTCATTGGCTTTTTTGGAACTATTAAAGATGAATTATTCTTCAAAAGAAAAAGTCTCTCTCTCTCTCACTTTGTGTATTCAGGTGAGTGTCTATTTCTCTGTAGGTGAGTGTATAAAAAGTCTCTCTCTATAGGTGGAGGTATGTGTATGCATGCTTCTCTTTTTAAGAGTGTGGATCTCTCACTCTATTCATGCACACACACACAACAAAGTGGAAAATGTTTTCCACTTTTGTCGCCTAAAATTATTCTTGATATATAAAAAAGAAAATATTGTTTTCTCATATGTTCTAATGTCTTCACCTTTGGGTAGTCAGCCAGTGTAGTGGGGTAGCACTTCATTCAAATCTGGGGCTGATCTTTTAAAACATGTATTCTTTGTATCAAATAAATATAAGTTAGATTCTTTAAGAATGAACTCAAAGAAAGATGGCAATGTAATGTTTTAAGTATGTGATTATAGTTGGTAATAATGTTATTAAGTTTTCAATTATTTTCTCCTTAACAAATTATCCTCTCTTTTTAATTAGGGTGGCATTAGTAAAATCAAGGTTATGGCCAGCATTGTTTCCATATAATATGAAAGAGTTTTATCATTTGTCTAAATGCAAATCTCTTTTGTGTTTGTAGATGCGGATATTTAGATCACATGATGCCTCCTCCACATAAACGTTTTTCCATTGTAAACAATTGATAAATCCAGCATTTGAATTGATGTTGGGTTTATTTTTCTTCCTAATTATATCTATGATTGTCTTGGAGGTGGTGGTAACAATTCTAGTATTAGGGATGGCTAATTTGATTGTGAGTTTAGGAAGATCATTTATGAAGATCAGAAATAGCCTAGGACTCAGGATAGAGCCTTGGGGGACACCAACATTTGTGTGAAAGGACCTGAAAGTGAGCCCACTCAAAACGACCTTCATTTCATGATTTGATAGGAATGATTGGATTAAATCAAACGGTCGTCCAGTAATACCGTAGCCCTGGAGCTTACATAGAGGACCAGTGTGCCAGACCCTGTCAAACACCTTTGAGATATCTAGAACAACAGTTCAAGCTTTTCCATTGTTATCAAGAGCTAGATATACATATTCAGTGATGGCTGTTAGCCCATCAGTGGTAGACCTGACAAAACAGAAGCCATATTGTTTGTCAGGGAGTAGGTCGTGAGAGGTAACCACTTCAGCATTGATTAAAGCCTCAAATACTTTGCTGAAAATTGGTAGGAGACTAATAGGGTGATATAGGGGTAAGAGGGTTCTCCAGAGTTCTTAAAAACAGGAACTACAGAGGAGGATTTCCAACAAGCTGGAAAGCAGGAAGCAGTAAGACAATAGTTGTAGAGTTTGGAGAGAATTGGGGCCAGCTCGGGAGCACGTTTCTCTAGAACAATGACTGGGATGCCATCACCTCCTTTTGCCTTCTGGAAGTCTAATATAGAAATGATGTCTGAGACAAGTGACTGGGTAATGCATATACTCATTAGAAACCCTGTCCTATTGAGGAAATCAGGTGTGGGTACTTCAAATGAGTCGAGTTTTGAGTTGGAAGAGAATTTCCAATTTCCAAGCAAAGCATTCAACCATATCTGCTGTAGATGTCAGGACCTTGAATTGATTGCATCTTTATTCAATGAATTGAATTGTTTGAGGGATTGAGGATTTGCTGTTATTCAGCACTCTCTTGGAGAGCTGCCAATAATCTCTAGAACCGAAATTGTGAGATGTTATATATTCTCATTCTATCAGCAAACAGTAACTTCACTTCTTTGAGGATACGCTTGCACTCATTATGAGCAGAGACAAAGAGACGTCTGTTGCAATCAGACATGTCACTCTGGTACAGCTGGAAGAAGTGATTCCTGTGGGCTATAGCGGCCATGCATGCATTTGAGAACCAAGGAGATGGATGTGGTTTAACTTGGTATTTCCTTGCTGGAATGAAAACGTCTATGCCAGCTTTCACCCAGGAGGAGACTTCAGATGCGCATTTTTAAACAGGATGATTAAAAACTTCATTTCAAGGGACATCACAAAGAAAATCACAGAACAAGTCTCAAACTGCTCACTGATGACAGAAAGATATTCTGTTGGTGGGAGTTTCTTGGCTGGTGGGGGAGTGGAAGGAGATGTTTACAGACACTGCCACATGATCAAAGTTGCCAAGAGATCAGAACTGCATAGAATGACAAGACTCAAGGATAAAGGTAAAAAAGAGATTAAGAAGAGAACATGTCTGTCAGGCTACTGGGGAAATGCGTGAGGAAGTCAACCACTTGCATAAGTGATTGAGGAGTTAAGTGTTTGGATGCCAGCAAGGTCAGTGACAGTGTTTAAGCCACCTGGTATGGTGGGCATTAAAGTCACTGAACACAAATATATTTGCAAACCAGTGTAAAGAGATAGCCTTGTCTATATTATCAAAAATATTATCTAGCATGCAATGGTCTTGAGAAGAAGGGGGACAGTAGAGAAAGAAGAGAAAACTGACTGAGTTAAGTAGAGAGAGAAACAGGGATTAGATGTAAGAATGATCTGGAGATTCAAGAGAACCAGCAGGAGATGTTCATGCACATAGACTCCCAGGCCATGTATGTGGACATTAGAGTCCTTTCTAAGAAGAGGAAGATAGCCAGGAATCGAGAAATCGGAGAAGATTGAAGAGTTAAGATTAATTTAATAGAGAGTTAGGATGTCCAGAGACTTTTCAAAGAGGAATGATTACACACTGCAGAAGTTGGTATTAATACCACAAATGTTAGAGAAAGAAAAGTTAAGGGGTTTAAGTGTTTTTTTGTTGAGTTGGTTTAAGTTTATATCTTTAGTTGTTTATAGTCATGATGTGTTATTTTGGTAAGGAAAGGCCTAGTAGTAACAGTCATTCATCAAATGTAACCTGTGCAGGAAAAGAGCTGGCGCAGACTGCAACATAGTGTGGCCTCAGAGTTGCCCACCAGAGATGCTTGGAATAAAAACAGGAAGCATTTATGTAGAGCCTTCTGAGAGGGAACTTGAAAGCCCAGAATTTGGAGATAAATCCTTTGCTGTAATATTGTCATAAATAAAACAATCTTTTCAAATATGTTAAGAACTATTTTAGCTTTATGAATGATTATTATTCTGCTTGTTCCTGCATTCTTTAGTTTGTTAGCACATAGGTTATGCCCTGTTAATACTGCATAAATATTCTGTTTTGATGATGAGGAAAGACGGAAAAGACATATCAGAGACACTATATTAGGTTTCAGCGAGTAAAAGAAAGAAGATAGAGGAAGGGATAATGCTCTCATGGATTTAACATCTGCCTCAGTGAAATAGAAAAACATTTAAATGTTTTCGTTTGTACCCTCTTACTATTTTAAATAATGTCCTACATTCACATTTATAATTGTTGTTACAATATTTTGTTAAAGTTAAGCTCAAATAATTAACAATGCAACTGGGGAAATTCCACGGGTATTTTATAACCGTAGAACTCACAAAGAGCTTATTCAGTCATTAACTTAAGAATTATGATTCATTAGAAAATTCAAATAGCAAAACTGTAAAATTTTCATGAGTACTATTAGTGATTATTATTTCTGTCTATATTTCTGAGATGAGGTATTATGTACATTATTTACATTATTTGGACTATTGTCCTCATCTTTGTCGCCATGTTTATCACAACGTTTCGTCCGTTGTATGCTCCGGCCTTCTTCAGGTGGTTGGAATGTTGAACTGAACCCTTTATTTCGCTTACCGGGGTAGACTGTTCTAGTTCCACATGCCATGTTTGATGGATGTCAGTTATCTCTTGTTAATTTCCCTCTGAAAGTTCTCCACCGCTCCAACCGGGCACCGAACTCACACTCTTTGGGTCCTGTCACTGGATCCAACCAACGCCCTCATCCACTGTGCCATGTGTCCTCGAGGACACATGGCACAGTGGATGAGGTATGGTTGGGGTGGTGGAGAACTTTCAGAGGGAAATTAACAGGAGATAACTGATAACTGACATCCATCAAACATGGCACGTGGAACTAGAACAGTCTACCCCAGTAAGCGAAATAAAGGGTTCAGTTCGACATTTCAACCACCTGAAGAAGGTCGGAGCGTACAACGGCCGAAACGTTGTGATAAATATGGCGACAAAGATGAGGACAATAGTCCAAATAATGATTATTATTTATTTATTTATTTCATAGATCTGGAGACAGCACACAAAAAGATTTCTGAATATCATCACTTATCCTCAAATAGTGATCAGGTGCTTCGGGAAATACGTGCCCGAGAAGCAGACATTCAAGAGGCTCTCAATTGTAAGGATTCCCAGCTTGCTATATTGAAAGTTCGATTAGAAGAGGCCGATTCTGAGATAATGCGAAACAAGGACGTTATTGAGAAACTGGAAGCAGAAAATAATCGGTAAGTCAGAAGGGTACAATTTCTTGGGACATCAACACTTCTTGCAGTCAGGTAGCTTTCAGAAATTAGTTGATTTAGCTTTAATAGTAAATGGGGAAGAGTTGCCAGATAATTTTACAAAAAAGTTTGTGGTTGTGTATGTATTTGCACACCTCCAAAAGAGACTGAAATACTTTTTTTTCTGTTTATTTTGGCTCTGATGTTTACTATTCAATATTTAATGCTACTACTGTATCTAGATTCAAAGCACAACCTTGTATCACTTGAAATTCTCAGTTATACTTTAAAGAAGAACAAGTCTCTATAAAAATCACGAGCTCCATCAGGCTATCTTGCCCAAGGCACAGCACTGTTGCTATGGCTGCAGAACATGTGATGCCTCTAGGACTCTAATGTATATCAATTGTGATATAAAATGTTTTTTGTCTATTACATTAGCCTCAAGAGATATGAATATCATCACGTTATCTTGCCCTAGACACACCTCTACTGCTATGGCTGCAGTACATGTGATGTCACTAGGATCTTAATGTGTATTAATTGTGATATGAAATTTGTTTTCTTGTCTATTATATCAGCCTGAAGAAGGATTAATACCATCAGTTTATTTTGCCCTAGACACAACACTGCTGCTATAGCTGCAGTGCATGTAATATCTCTAGAACCCTCATGTATACTAGGAATCCTGATAATTGAACCAATGAAATAGCAGGTTAACAAGGAGACATTACTCCTGATCTAACTGTTTTGTGATAAATTTACATTTTTTTTTGTGTGTGTATGTATGTATGTATGTATATATATATATATATATATATATATATATATATATATATATATATATATATATATATATATATATATATATATATATATATATACCCTTCGGTAAAAGCAAATTGAGTTCTCTCAGTCACTGTGTGTTTATCCAAAAATAAATACGCTTAAATTCATCTTCATCCCTGCTGTGTGCCAATGGCTTAGGAATAGAATCTCCAACTGACGCCAGTTCAGCCTGGTTTCGATTCTAGCTAGAGGCAACCAGAAGTCTAGGCTTAATTAATGAACTGTGATACAGCAAAACTGTCTGTGTATGACTAATATATATATATATATATATATATATATATATATATGGAGAACTCTCCCATCATTTTTTCAATGTATGAGGGTCCAGCAGTTCACTTCATAGAACCAGACTACCTGCATGTATGTTTTGATTATGGTGGTGAAGGCTTGTGCAGAACCAATTACACTTTTGGAAGAGCCAAATACAGTGCCACAAGCTCCCCAAACGACCATTCACAGGTTTTGTATTCGAGGTTGTCTTTCCCCTAGACCGGTTGCCACCCTAAGGCTATAGAACCAAGCCTGTCCTGTTATTTACCCGTAGCTGGGGGAAGAAGTGATGGATTCATTCCTTTCTCAAGGGTATTTGCATGTAAGTGAACGTAACAAATTTGACTGGAATTTGAATTTAACTCTTAAATTAAATTACCCAATTTGAGCTGCTATCCATTATTAACCATGCCTCCATCATATATATATATATATATATATATATATATATATATATATGACTTGGATTCTTGAAACCACAGATAATGCCAAACTCATTATACATTTTTTTTTTTTTTTTTTTTTTAGCAGAAAATTTGTGCCTGTTTAAAAAAAAAAAAAAAAAAAGTGTCAAAAGGATGGTTTTTTTCCATTGACACACACCACTATTATTTTAACTACCTTCACTCCTCGGCAATGTCTGTTGTTTTAAAAAGCGATGATTAGAATTGTAATAAAACCTAAACATATGATGAAAGTAAATTTATACATTTTTTGTTCTCAAGAATTTATAACAAAAATATTAAACACTATTTATTAGATTGTTTATTTACAAGAATAATTTTATATTTACAACTTTCTAAAAACTAATGCAACATTTATCATTTACCAATTTATAAAATCATACATATGAAAAAATTTCATAAATTTATAAACATTTTGTCAATTATTAAAATATGTGAACCAATTATAAAGAAATCCTTATTTTTTACCATTTTATAATGTTCAAATCAGTTGGCAATGAGCTGATGATTCCAAAAATCAATCTAATAATGTAAGTTTATTATTTTTGTTGTAAATTCTCAAGAATAAAGAAAATGTATAAATTCAATTATGTATGTTTAAGTTTTATTACAATTCTAAGCATTGCTTTTTAAAGGAATAAACATTGCCAAGGAGTGAAGGTAGTTAAAATGTGTCAATGGAAAAACCATCCTATTGACGCTCTATAGTATAACATGATTAAGGTTGTGTTTGGGAAGAAACAGTGATTAATTTTGGCAATGTTGACCATGTTATTGTTGTGAAGTGAACTTACTCTTGTGAGCGTTAATGTGATTGGTCAAATAAACAATTCAGAATTTGAACTTAGCCTCAACCAGATTTAAATCATATAATTTAGAATACTCTCAAGTTTGAATATATTGAAATATTTCATCAGGAAAATTGTTGCAGTTTCTTATATATAAAAAGGAAAACCAAAATTCTTTGTTGGGATTATATAAACTCTACAGTGATGTTGGTATTATCAGCTGTTAAGGATGATGTGATCTGTGATAAGGCTGCTTAATATGATCCCTGATACAGGCTGCTTGATGTGATCTATGGAGTGAGCCATTTTATGTGATTATTGTTCAAAGGGACAAAATTGTGAAATCATTTTGTGATTCTATTTTTTTCAGGGTTCGAAAAGATCATTCAGAATCAAGTGGAATACAAAACCAAGCGTTAGAAACAATGAAGATTAGATTGTCAGAATTGGAAGAAATGCTGAAACGTGAACAGGAATCATACCAGCGATCACACGTAAGAAAAATTTTGATTGCAAAAAAGTAAAAACAATTTTTTTTATATGTGTTTAGGTTAAAAAAAAAAAAAAAAAAATGTAATTTTTAAACAAAATCTTTATATTTTTTTTTTTTTTTTTTTCCTTAGAATTAAATGCCATATTTGTTAATTTGTAAGGCACTTGTTTAAAACAGCATGCACACTGCAATTCATTCTGATTCAGTCCAGACAGCTGAAGCTTTTTTGATATTGGATCTCCTAGGAAAAAGGGAATTGTATCTTCTACAACTATCAATATTAGTATTTAAGTGAGTGATAAGTCCTTTCATTCTATTTCAATGTTATTTCCTGTGGGTAGTATTCACTTTTATTTATTCTTTAATGCCATGTACCTTCAGGACGTGGGTGATCATGGCTTTCCCCATATTTTTCTTTATTCTCTGGGAATTGCCATGGCTTCTTGGGAAAGATAGTGCAGTGATTTCTCATTACTTTTTTCTTGAATTCAGACTTGATTTACCCCTAGACTGGCTACCTTCCAAGGCTAGAGAGAGACCAGACTACCCTGCTATTTAACTCATTGCTAGCAGGAGAGATAAATTCATGCCATTCCCAAGGGCATTAGTGTGAAAGTGAACAAAACAGGCAAGGCCAAAATTTGGGGATGGTGTGCCTGTCTACTTTGATAATAAATAATTGAAATCCAAGCTTTTTACCTGGACTGAAACTCTGACCTGTAGCACATGTAGAAAGTATGCAACTACCTCAGTGACAAAGCAGGTCATAATTTATATATAAAATTTTTATTCATGCATTTTTTTTCTAATATTTTCTTTCTTTTTTTTTTTCTTCACTACCAGCTTGATTCTTCAGGAAGACAAAGCAAGTTGGAACAGGAACAACAGAGCTTAGCAGAATCTTTGAGCATAACACAGAAAAAATTTACTGAAGAGAAAAGTAATTATAATTTAATCATTAAATTGAAATAACATCAAATATCAGTGTTTTCCTAAATGGTAATATTAGCCATTTCCTTATTCCTAGGAATCATTAGGCATTCATTGACTGAGCAGCCAATGCTACTCAAATAACACTTTTCTTTATTCCTTGGCCATCTGGCAAGGATCAAAGTGTAGTATCTGTTCTAATCTCAAATGGTAATATTAACATTTGGCATTCACTGACCAAGCAGCCAGTGTCATTTTCAGTTAAAATTTATAAAATCTTTTTAGCTTCTTTCCCAGAACTCTTATATTATGGAACAGACTCTGAAAAAGATGCTTTCCTGATCACTACAATTTAAATGTCATCAAGTCTAGGATCAACCATTATCTATCCGACATATCATCATAATATGCACTTCTTATTTCTTCACATATGCCCATACAGCAACCTCATTTAGAAACTCTCTACTTAAGTGGCTCTTGGGTCTTGTATTGGGTGAAGAATAGTATAAAAATACTTTATTATTCACAAATATTTTTCTATTCTTGAGTCTCAAAGACTTTATATTCCAAAATTCATGACAAATATATTTACACTACTTTTTCTCTACTTTTAACTATGTTTTTGTTTTTTCATATATAGACCATAGATAACTGTCTGGGGCATCTTTGTGCCACTCATTTAGGTTACAACAACTAGTTTAGGAACTGAATCATTGCTGTAAGTAATATATAAAGTGTATATAAAAGTCCCACCACCTTCTATTTATTTTTTCATTTTAGTTGCCACATGGTAAGGTCATTGGTAACTACACCAGTTCCCCTGCCAGGCTTTTCTGAGGAGAGTAGCTAGATACACAACAGGATTAAAAAAAAAAAAAAAAAAAAAAGACCTGTCAAACATCAGATGAACTTTCTTGTAGGGGGTCAATAGCCATCTATCACAATGGGGTAGACTGGACATTTAGAATAAAATCCTACATTGAATAATAAACACATTTGAAATGTGTAGAATTAAAATAAAAAACATATTTAGAAGGAAATTTCTAAAACTAAAAAAGGAAACTTCTTTGTTATTATTATATTTAATTCTTTAGATATTTGTTAAACTCTTTCTCCCGAAGAGATCCAGACCATAAATTTCATTTACAAGATTCTTTGGATTTTCTAATCTTTCTTAATGACTTTATTGAATTCTCAAAAATGTCATACATTGAAGTTGCTATTTCTGAATTGTGTATTTTTCTCTCATTGCAGATAAAACTTCAGAACTTAATAAGCAGCTGAAGACAGTGACATTAAATATGGAAGCTATCAAACAGGAAATGTCAGATTATAAGGAAAAGGCTTCAAGGATTCTTCAGGTGGGTGACGTAGGATTTGGACAAATATATTTCGCCTTTGAGTTAGGAAGTCTTTTCAATATTATTACCATTCATCCCTTTTCAGAATGAAACCTGTTGATAATAAGTTTTTTCCTTCATCATTCATTTGTCCACTATTATATATATATATATGTGTGTGTGTGTGTGTGTGTGTGTGTATATATATATATATATATATATATGTGTGTGTGTATATATATATATATGTGTGTGATAACAAGATATAAATATTTTTATATATCAAGAACAATTTTAATGGAAAGAAGTATGACAAAGTGAAAAAAGTTTTTGTATTATGCATTTTATACTTTTTTATATATATACACACACACACACACATTTATATCAGCCTGATGATTGTGTCTAGCATAAAACAGCCTGTTGCCTCTGAGTGTTGACTTCAATGATCACTTATATATATATATATATATATATATATATATATATATATATATATATATATATATATATGCGTGGTACTTATTAGAAAGCGCTCAATATCAGAGATAGAGCTAACATATTTGGTTGGATAGATGTGAGTTTGTGACCCTGGGTTTCACGCTTTAGCGATCAAAGCGTGAAACCCAGGGTCACAAACTCACATCTATCCAACTAAAAAATATATATATATATATATATATATATATATATATATATATATATATATATGGTGTGGCAGAAATACTTTCTTTATATAACTCTTACTGTCTTGCCCCTTTCCTACAACAAGGGATGCAGGTTTGATTCCTGCCGGAGAGCACTTTTTTCTTTAGGATTTCTTGAATATGCAGACCAATAAATGTAATACATATGGTTTAAAAGTAAAAATCAAAATGGGGTGTCTATTTCAAATATGAGTATCCACTCATAATAATGTTTGAAGTAATAAAAATGTCATATTAAAAATAAATCCATTAATCTTTTACATATCGCACAAACAATAAAAATTGATTAAACAAAGATAATTCTGTATTGGAAATATTTAGAGTGGTATATGGAAACACATTTCAACAACTTATTTTTTTAATCTTTAATATATTTGATCCTGCAACTGCCACCACCAAGGAAAACATTGATCGTGTCCACCATATGAGGATGGATGACAGGCGATTGACTATAAATCAAATAGCCAATGCTATTAGCATATCCCACGAGAGAGTTGAGAATATTCTACCCAATGAACTTGGCAGGTTTCTGCTCAGGAAATTGTTTGGGACAGATCCAGCTGGTTTCCTTGAATGTTTCCTAACTCAGTATGAGAGTTGAGTCCATCACTTTGAGTCGGAGACAATCCATGCACTCCTCCTCACCTGCTCCAAAGAAGGCCAAGTTCATTTATGTGCATTTATTACTGACTTGGGAAATTCTAATGGGATAGAAGGGGAGTGGATCTTAAATACCACCAAACATGATAATTCCATTAATTTTTACTGATCATCATATTAATTATTTAACAATATATATAAATAATGCTTAAGGTTAGCAATTTTTATTTTTTGAGATTGAGTACTCCATCTTTTTGGTCTAAATAATCATTCTGCTATCAAATAGCATTAAATTCTATGTGTGTCCTATGGCTGCCTCAACTACACTACCTCTTTACCTATTATGTTATATATACATCAGTTGGCCAATTCATTTTTACAAGTGGCAGAAGGGCACAACCACCCGGTGTACTATCGTCTTTTTAAGTACTTTAGTTATAATCTTGAATGAATTGTAAGTAAGCAATGTCAAGTTTCTTGAAATTTCTTTATTCTGTAACTTGAAAAAGAAACTCTCTTTAGAACAGAAATCTTGCATATCTGCAAATTGTTTTTTTTTTTTTTTTTTTTTTTTTTATTATTCATCCCAGTTGTTGTTGGCTTACACAACCTCCCCCACCAACTCCTATTTCAACAGAAGAAATTGTTGGGTTGTACAGTGAATTTTTTTGTTCACCTTTTATTTGGCTAGGTTCAAAACAAGCTTTCTTTTTGACTTGGGAAATTCTAATATTTGCATAGAGTGGGGGGATATCAGATCTTAAATACCACCAAACATAATAGTGCTATTCATTTTTACTGGCCATTCTGTTAAATCTTTAAGAATATGTAAATGATGCACAAGGTTAGCACATCTCTCTTGTGATTTGTCTCATGAGTTTAAAACAAACGCTTAACTTTGAGCCTAGTAAATGTCAGAAGCATCTTGCAATACAGCAGTCGTTGACAAATTAATCTTCTTAAGGGCTACTGGTTTGGGAAGGGTGATCTGCAATATTCCATATTTTTGACCATGTGTTTCACTAAACTGCTTTGTAAGTAAAAACACAGTTTGATTAAAGACGACACAGATACTTTGAAACAAATGTTGATGAATACACACAGACATGTGCATGTAAATATGATGCTACCTCTGTCCCATAATAGTTGTTATATTTAGTGTATAAACTGTGTATGCAAATGTAACAACAATTATGGGACAGAGGCTATATTTTTATAACCTTTGTCCCATAATTGTTGTTATATTTAGTGCATGAAATATGTAAGCAAATGTAGCATCTATTATAGGACATAACTTGTACAGTGTAACCTGGATATAAGAGAGATTTTCTCTGGTCCCAAATTAGAGCCTGTGTTAATGTATATAAAACAGACCAAACCTGGATATAAGAGACTTCTTCTCTGGTCCCGACAACTCTCTTATATCCGGGTTACACTGTATATGAAACATTTTTTCTTTTTTTTTTAATTTATTAACTTTTTTTACTTGTAGTCAAAAGAGCGTCTCATTGCAAGTTTACGAGATGGTTCAGGTGCTTCTGGTGAATTCTCAGGGGTTTCAAGTGAAGAATACAATGCTGTCAAAACAGAAAGAGATATGTTCAAAGATGAAATGCAGCAATACAAAATGCGAGTAGAAAATACACGAACTGAATTGCAAGTAAGACTTTTGTTGTTTTTTGTTATGTTATCTTAATTACCTTCTTGTACAGAAAGAATAGTGACATTAGCCAAAGTGCTTCCGTGTTGCATGATGTTTTTGTGTGAGTGCTGTGTTGGGGAAATGCCTCTCTGCTGGACGAGGCCAGTATTGTAGTTTAGTAAACATGCAAAGCTGTTTCACTCCTGACCAATGTTAAGTGGTGTCACTTAGAAGGTCTGACATCAAAGACGCCATCCACTGGCTGTAAAACACAAAATACTTGAGAGTGAGATAAGATCCCACTATGTAGGTGTCCCAGTCATAGTGTCACAATGTTATTTAACGATCATGAAGTATTTGAATAATTTTTACCTGGTTATCATTGTTCAAATGTCCTTTACGGTCCCTGTTGCATAAAAATTGGAACAGTGGCAATGAAGCCCTATCACCAAAAATGGCAGCAATTTGTTTACTGTTGAGTAGAACCATGTTATTGGACACAATTTCACATTTCAGTACTGCCAAATTTTGGACAAAAATTAAATTCAGATACATGCAATCAAGAATTAGTAAATTTTTGGCCATCTGGGCAGCCATATTATGAAATAGGGAAATGTTATCTCCAGCTGCAACTTTGTTTTCAGTCTGTTACAAAGCCTGAAATGCAATTTTCATCAGATTGGTGCAGGGAAAAATTGGTTAAAAATCTTTTTTTTTTTTTTTTTTTTTTTAAATCAAGTCGTGTGTAACTTGATTTAAAAAAAAAAAAAAAAGAATGTTCCAAACGTCTAAATAATATAGAAGAATGTAATAAAATATTTGAATCATTCTTTTTTCACTCTGACATGGTTGAGTTTTTTGTTTTTTTTTTTTTTTTTGTAAATAAACACCACCAAAATAATCAGTGGCAGAGCCAGTGCAAGGCTCTTGTATAACCCCCAATCTATGATACCCTCCTACTCTACTACATCTCATTTTTCCTAAGGTAGTATTCATATAAGATACAAATTTTATTGTAACCTAATTATTCACAATAATGGGTCATATGCAATATAGATGAACAATTCAACTATAAAAATTGAAAATAAATACAATGTATCTAAATAGAAACTAGAGAAATGTCATAATACATCATTCCATCTTAAATAAGTTTTGTGGTAATTTTTAACATCAACTTGAGATTTTTCTTGTTAAAAAGTTGAATTAACACATTCAACATTATGATAAAAAAAAAGCAATGAATTTTATATAGTGTTTTTTCGAGACTTAGCACAAATGAAACAAATTCATGGATTTGGACCCCCCCCCCAAAATAAAGACCCCAGAATGATGCCAAAATCCACACAAATGTTTCATCCTTTAATAGTTTGTTGTGCTTAGTTTAATTTGTAATGTATATAAATGTAGGTCGAAAAAAAAGCAAATGTTGATAAGATAGTGAGGGTCACAAAGCAATGTCCGAGGTCCCCAATCAGGCTTTCCCCTCCCCCGGTTGTAAGCACTGGCACTGGTCAGTGGTATGATTTTAGTCAACAATAAAGTCAGTCAATTTCAACTTTTTGCTTATTTTCCCTCCTGTAACTGACAGTTGGGGAGGAGAGGGGGAATGTTTTATTCATGTAGAGAAAAGATATTTCTACAGTTTTGTAATGTTGACATTATTATTCTTCGATTGTTGATAACCATTCTTTTATTTTAAATTATTAGGATTTGGAATTGCAATTCCAACAAGATCGAGAATCACATCGAGAAGAAGTGGATCTCTTGCAAGAACAGTTAACAGAAGAAAAAAGACTTCGGGAAGATAGCGAACAAGACTTATTGAAACAGAAACGGGTAAACAGCCATCTTCTTTACAAATTATTTTGTGGTTCTATGCATTTTCACACATTTATGATTTTATTCAGTTATTGTTAATATTTTAAAACTTCTTTCAGTTTTTATATATACACCAGGTGTAACAGCAAAATTGTCCATTTGTTAGATTAAGCTTTGAATTGCATCTTAGATATGATTAAAGTTATCTTACTGGAATTCTCCAAGGTCTTTATAAAACTATTGATCTCTATTTTGAGCCATAAGAATGTATAATTATTCTCCAAGCTTAACAGAAGAATCGTGATGAAATCAATCATAAATGAAAATGACATGGTTATCATTAATTAATCATAGCTAAGGATTGGAAGCTCATGAAGGATTGAAATAAAAGTTATATATATATATATATATATATATATATATATATATATATATATATATATATATATATATATATATAATTCCAGGATCATTTTCCAACTTATTCAAGATGATCTTCGTCTTCTCTAACTTTCTGTCCTGGAGTAACAAGGTGCCTCACAGGTTTCATCTACGATTTCATTTTCAAGTCTTTTTTTCACTGCTCTTTGGACTGTCATAGCTGAAACTCCTCCCTCAATTGCCAAACATCTTATGAATTGAGTTGGATCTTTTCTAATTGATCTCTTTAGATTTAAGTTGTAATGATGATCACTCTTCCTGTTGTGACCTTCTGATCCAGTGTTCCTCTCTACTGTTCCCTTTTTTTAAAACTTATTCACCATTCTCTTGATGGTTCTTGAATGGATTTTGAAGATAGAAGCCAGAATACAAATTTTAGCACCATTACTGAAGGCCTGCATGATCTTTTTCCTCTCACCATTGCTCATTTGGGAGGAGAGTGGGACTATATTTAGTCGTCCCCCCACGAGGGCGTCATGTGGCACAAGGCCTTTTTAACGTGGGCATTTCCGAGCCATTAGGCTCGGCCAAAAATAGCCCATTTGAACCCGTATAAACGGGTTCAGGGTCGGTTTTACCTCCCGAAGGAGACTCCGCTTCGGGCGTAGCCTCCTTCGGGTTCCTCCCCCGAAAGCAGAGAGTTAAACCGAACCGTTCGCTCAGAAAGTGACGGGAAGAGAGTGGGACTGACACAAAACAATTTTAACCTGTTCTCTTTCTAACCAAATAACTCAAAGGGTTTTTCAGTGATTCTTACAACAAATGGTGTCAAGATAGCCAAACGTCTTATCTGAAAACTTAGAAAAAAGAAACTCAATTAGTTTAGTGTCTTTTTTTTTTTTTTATATTAGATATTTTTTAGATATTAAACATTTTGTGGGATGAACAATTTTGCTGTTACACCTGGTGCGTGAGTGTGTGTGCACGTATATATATATATATATATATATATATATATATATATACACACACACACACACAGGAGGTCAAATAACTTGATGTGTCTGCACATGAAATCAAGTACATAGGTTTTATTCATAATTTCATTATGCATGGAGGAAAGACGTATAACAAAGTAGAAAAAATTTTCATTTGACACTTTTCGACCTTTAGGACTTCATCAGACTAGGTTTGTTTACACTTATGCGACTACACATGTACATGAACAAGAAACACTGGGAATTTTAAAAAAATGATTTTTTTTATGTGTTTTTCGTATATAATCTTGCCAATTTCATTTAGATTTTTTCTGTTTTTGTTTGTTTCCATCAACTTTTGTTATTAAATATCCCACATTATGATAACAGAAGATCTGCCAAGAATGGTAGAACTTTGACACAAATTTACTATGGAAGAAATTGCAATTAAAGCACTTTCTAATCATTTTCGTCTAAGTGAATTGTTTTCTCTTTTAATTAGAGTAACATTTTTTATGTTAAAATTGTGGTCAGTCTCATTATGATGAGCAACTAATGCATTCAATGATTTTTTTTTTTTTTTTTTTTTTTTTTTTAAATTTAAATTCGTTACACAAAAACTTTTTCCACTTTGTCATACATCTTTCCTCAAAAATTATTCTTGATATATAAAAACTTATATATTGTTATCATATTCTTATGCATGTAAATTCCTCAATCACTGCAATCTTAACCTGTTCAAATCTAGGGTTAACCATTATCTTCCCCACATATCCACATAAATTGTGCCCCTTATTCTGTAATCCTCTACCTTGAGAGGATCTTTGGCCTTGTACAGAGTGAACATTATTGTCAAAAAAAATTTGTCTTGCTATTCTTAGGTGCCTAATACAAATTTATTGGTTAGGAATTATTCCTAATATGTAATAAATGAAGGCATATAATAAAAGTAGTGATTGAAAAATCTTTTAAAGGAAAAAAAAAGTGTGAAATAATCCTTTTGTTAGATACAAGAGAGCACGCCGCTCCCACTTAGCATTCCATACAATGTTATATAAGCACAAATAGACTATGACAGAATCTTTAGATTCATTTTTATTTTTTCCTTATTGTTTTTTTTTTTTTTCTCTCTAAATTCAGGAATTGAATTACACAATGGAAGAACTGCACAAGCAAAAAACTGCATTTCAGTCTGCAATAAAAAACAGAGAAGAAGAAATTGAAAAACTGAGAAACCAAGTAAGAATTCAAATTTATTTTGCTAATGTCAAAGAAACTGAAAAAGTAGGGCTTTCAAAAGACTTCAATAATTTTCTTACAGAAAAAAGTACGTATCTGATTATGTCTGTTTAGTCAAAATTCAGTCCTTTGTTGGTGTAAGTGGTGTGACATCACCTGGACAATGTGATATAGAGACTGTGCACTGCTCAGATTACATGCACCCCCAATTTTGGCTGTACCAACAAAATCCAAAGGAATACAGGGTATTAAATTTGGAACTGGCTTGGCTGTAGGAAATGCTGGAAAGTTGTCAGTATTTTGTCAGCCACTTTTGGGACTCCACTCCAGGTTTACTTCCATAGCCTTTTCTTTTGTTTGAATATAACTACAAGGCAGTGGAGGCTTAAGATCAAACTTTTCCTTCCCCTTTAGTGCAGCGTGCCTCATAGGTGCAGTGGAAAAGGATAGCAGGTGAGGCGGAATGATTTAAAGACAATCAAAGATTTAGAAACACTTTAAAAAATCCATATGCCAGATATATGATTTCAAAATTGAAAATATTATTATGGATTACTTGTAATTGCATGCATGAGTCCCAGTATAGTCATAAATAATTATTGACCGATCTTATCATTGTAATATTTTTGCATTATATCAAATATATAAGAATATAGTAACTAGGGTATGCAAATTGGAGGAGAGAGTTATCAATGATAATGTTCTGACTTTGAATCCATGGTTATTCCCTTTAACTCTCTCTCTCTGTTTTTTATTTTTAAATGTACTTTTTATTGCAAAAAATTTGCTGAGGCACAAGCAAATTTTCATTCCAAAAATACAGCCCAGAGAAAAAAAGTTTGGGATCCACTGCCCTAGAAGGACTGCCTGCCTGCCTGGACTGTCAAGCTCCATCTACCCAAATATACATAAGTAAATGGCGCTATATTAAATCTCATATACTTTACGGGCCACCAAAAATTATAAAAATACAATTCTGGAGAATGAGTTAATCTTGCAGATTTACTATAGTGTTGAGTGGGATCCCACATTTGCTGGCCTTGTGCTAAACTAAGCACAATTTAGTATAAATACCAAAACAATTCTGACCAGCTCTAAAATTAACCAGTGTGGTTAGAAAGTTAATGAATTTAAATTTAAATTCACAAACTTTTGAACAATAGTTCCAAAAACGAAAAAGGTATATTTTTACAATGCAATCAGTATATTTCAACCTGATGATAAAAATATAGTAAAATAAATTAAATCTTTATTTTTGTAATCAAATTTTGTTTTTCTATTTCAGTTGACGACAAAAAATTTGTGTTCAACTACAGAAGATGAGCTTGAGTCGAGAGTGCGGACGCTGACAGAAAGCCTCATTCAAAAACAGACAATGCTTGAGGCAATTAGCACAGAAAAGAATTCTTTGGGACTTCAGCTAGAAAGACTTGAGGTAGTTAGAATTTAATTATTGAAAAATTGTCAAAAATAAACCCTAGTTGGAAGTAATGACAAAATTTGATAGCTTCAGCCGGTTTATTAAACAGAAAGAAAGATAGGCTTAGAAAATTGATAAGTAAATTGAGAGAATGAGGCCAACTCTAGTAAGCAGTGCAAGTGGGTGAGAGGTGGGGATTGAGTGGTCTCCAGCAAATGGTCAGGGCAGGGATCAAGCCATCTCCTATGATAATTAAATTTTATTTCTAAAGAAGTCTTAGAGAGTAATATTTTGAATAGGAATTCTTAAACAAATATATTAAAATTTTTCTTTGACTATATTATGTATTACTGTCTCTTGACAGGCTGGTTTTGAATTCAGTTTTCCTTCTCCGAGACTGGTTGCGGAGAGCTCAGTTTGCCCAACTATTTAATGCATGACGAGGGGGAGAGGAGATGGATTTATACCTTTCCCAAGGGTTTTAATGCAAAAGTGAATGAACTTGGACAGAATATGAATAAGATTTATTAAACAAGTGGGAAACCTTTATTTACTTTGTTTGCGTTATATGGTGACCCAGTAGAATAAGACTGCTTACAACCACATCACATAGAAACACTGATTCCCATACGATCACATTGCAGCAGCTCGAGGATCTGACTATAGAACGAGTTCAATTAATGATGTTTGCTATATACAATGCTACCAAAGCTGCACAAAATATCTGCCTCAATGAAATGGGACCTGTCTTTGTTGAAGCTATGACATATCTGTAACAGAGAATCAGGTCAGCCTGAGAAAAGACTCCAAGTTGGTTGTAGGTGGTGCTGGAAGCACCAAGAGTTGCATCCTTTTCCATAATAGGCTGTTGAGAGTAGGTGGCGCTGACTATTTGGGCTATTTGAATATGAACTGTAGAAAAATCATGTGGTCGAGATAAACACTCAGTTGTGGAGCAAGCTAAGTGAATCAATAATAACTCAACCTTAAGAGAGCTATTTATGGTGCCATGGAGCATCTCATTGTGCTAAAGTGGGATAGTCCATTGCTTGGGCTGTGATTGGCTGCTGGTACATGAGTGGAGGTATTTCTGTATAAATACCAGCTTGATTCATCAGTTAGTTTGCAGTGTTTGTATTGAGTTACAACCTGCTTTATTTTTGTCTGCCAGCTGGACACTAGCTGGGACCCTTACGCCGGTAAGTGCTGTTTATTATTGTTATTCTACAATGAACGATGGGTGTGGGATTGAAATAACTATGTAACACCAGTGCTCCTGACATGTGTACGTGTGAATACCAGACAAAAACAATATCAGAAAGTTTACTTTGACACAGGCTTACATCCACATCACATTGAAAAACCAGTTCCAAGTATGATCACTGAAGTTAAGCAACATCAAGCCCAGTCAGTACCTAGATGAGTGACTGCTTGGGAATACTAGGTGCTGTCAGCTTGGATGTGCAGGTGGTGTAATGGATAATGGCTTAGAATTCTTAATCAGAGAGCTGAGTTCCAATTCCTGTTGGGTTTGTTATATTCACTGAGGCACAAATACCCTTGAGAAAGGTATGAATCCACCTCCTCACCCCACCCCAGCTATTCATTATCCTCCCTCCCAACAATGTTACAATCTAAAATATTTCCTGGCTTTAAATAACATGCAAAGTGTTGATAAGCCATTAAAAAAAAAAACGAATCAATTGATCAATCTGTTATGGTGAAACACACCTATTCTATAGTTAATAGACTCTCCCACCTAATATAAGTAGGATTAGTAATAGAAACGACAGTCAGTCGATGTCGGACGACAGTTAGTCGAATATGAAAGTAGTCAGCGACCACAACAAGATTACTCTGCGTAATACCTATTATATCAAGTTCCTAATGTTTTGTACGTCAAACTATTTAGGACCAATTTAGTGCAAATACAAGCCTCCACTGAGAAATAACTCCACAACACAATCATAGAATTAGGCAGTTGGTAGTGGAGGGAAAAGGCAAAACTAATCAACAACTGTATTTTAATACCAACTACATTTACACTTGATATACATAGAGGTAATGTTTTGGTTTATTATTTCACTGATTTTACCATTACTTCATCAATTCCCTTTCTTGTTTTTTTTTTTTTGTTTTTTTTCTGAAATAATAAAATCAGGAAAAATCATTTCTTGATTAAGCACTGAATTTTGTAATTTGGGGCCTAAAATTTGTTTTCGCAACTTCAGTTACTCAAACAGTATGTTGGGCATCGAAAATCAAGAAAAGAATGGATTGTCAGTGTTCAGGAATTAAGGCAAGCATTATTGTAAGAATAAATATATAATTTAAATGTATCACTTTATTCCCATTAAAAATTTAAAATTCAACAATCCTTTATTTCAAAAATCCTTTTCATTCATTTTAAGTTTTCAATCATTCTAGAAAATAACTTTTTCTATCACATGTAGGTAGGTCTGTTCTGCAAAAAATATATATTTAAAACTTGTAGGATTTTAACTTCTTTTTTAATTTTTTTTTTTTTTTATTTCTTTAGCAACAGTATAAAGATGTCCAACTATCCATTGGACGAACCAATTCATCTGCCATCCATGTTAGCGAAGATGATGAGGGTAAGCATTTCCTCAAATTTGATAATCTCTTGTTTTGTTCTGTCTGAATTTCTAGGATGAGGAGTTATTATTTACACTATTTATATCCTTATCTTTGTTGTTATCAGAACGTTCCAACCATTATGTCATCCAGCCACACACACACACACACATATATATATATATATATATATATATATATATATATGAGAAAATTAATACAAATATAAAGTTTGTCACTTCGCTGGTTGGTGTTATCTTCAGCATCCCAACTCTAGAGTTTTGTAGATGGTGGACCCTCCAGCAATTATTCTGGTCGCTCTTGGGGTATCAGCAATTGTCGCACATTGAGTGCTAGGTTTAATAAAATAGTGCCTGATGTAGAAAAACAGAGCTATAAATTATATATTAATAATAAATATACATTTTATTTTCCTCATCGATAGCACAACTCTGTGTTTCATGCATGAAACTCAATCTTCAGATGCTGATTGAAAACCTTAAGATTGCATTGTGCATAAAACCCAGTGTTGTGCTATTGGTGAGGAAAATAAAATGTATATCTGTTATTAACTAGCCTACATTTGGGTGAACTTTATGCTAACCATTGTTACTTCAGGTTGTCTATGATTTGCTGAGATTGAAAAATGGATGTCAGATATTTTACAAATATTTTTACTGTAGAGCTTGCTATGAGCTTATTCAATCATTAACTTAAGAGTTAAGAATTAAGATTCATTAAAAAATTAAAATAGGAAAACCATGAAATTTTCACATGTTAAAACTAATTATAATAAATATAATAAAATGTATAATAAAAGTAATAACAGTAGATCCATTCTTACCATATATCATATTACACACAATAAGAGATTGACAACATAGAAACATTCTAGCAATATACTGTAATAATGAGGGAGAAAAAAAAACCTTGTTACCATATATTAAAAGCTGATGCACTGGCAAAGGAGGGAACTAAAATGACAATAATAAACATGACTCTCATATACAGATTACAAAAATAAGATCACACAATACATTAAAAGAAAATGGCAAACAATTTGGGATATGTTTCTAAACAACAAACTGAATGTCAATCTACAATCAGATTGAAAAACAGAGAACCATTAGCTGATTGAAGACAGGATGTAGTGCTCAGCAGAGTCCAAATTGGACATACGCATTTTTTTACACACATACTTACAAAGCGGAAACTGCACTGCATTGCATCTCTTGTTATCAACTGCTCACTGTTAAGCACATTCTAATAGACAGCAAAGAATACAAGAAAATGTGCAACAAATGATGTACTAAACCTTAAATGCTTTTCAAAAAATGTATGTGTTTCTCAAATAATAGGCTCTCTGAAAGAAGTACAATACATCTTATCTGTAAACTATATATCTAAAAAAACAAAAAAACACATACATTTACCTTGAAAATGTAAAATTGCATACAAAACATCTGTAGTTGAAGCCATAAAGTTACATACAAAATATTTGGATTTCAGCATTGAGTGGCCCATGGAAGTTGTCATGCCACTGAACAAAACCAACCAACCATTTCAGCATTAATGACTCATAGTGGTTGATATGTCAGTGAAATAACCAATCAATCATTAGTCTATTGCTTATAAGGGTGAAACTGAAACTGTTACTGTGTTTGTTTCTATTTTTTTTATGGATGAGCATAGAAACTGGTGAACTGAAAGTTATCCATGATTGGAATATAAATTGCCAAGAGAATCTGCTGTGTTAGTTAAGATGAGGAAAGTTGTAGTTGATGGAGGACACATAAATCAATACATGATCAGTATTGACTGGGTCACCATGGAGGGGGGTATGATCCCAAAACCCCTAATGGACCTTGGCTAAGAACATCACTGATGTGTGCCAAAGCATCAAACAGGTGTATTTCATGAAAAGTGACATCAATGTTACCAACTTCAGCACTTGATTATTATATAACCCCCCCCCACTTTTTAAGTCAAAAACTTTCACTGTTTTTTACTTGAAGGAAATACTTTACAGTTTTTCTTTGGTGTTATTCAAATTATTAACCTCATAATTGATGCACTTGGGGACCATTCGTGAATAATAGCTGCAAATTGCTTATTTCAGACATTGACTGCAGTTAACTGATACAACTGAAAGGAGGGAAACAGTAAATAAGAAATAAAAAAAAAAAAACAAATATTGAATAAGCTAAATTTATTTTTCTTTGGAAAGCTTTAATTGCTGAATATTGTGTGAATAAAGTCAAAAATAGGAGACAAAGAATCAAACTGTGAAATACATGAAATAAAAGAAGCAGCATATACAAGTTTATCCCCAAAAGAAGGGTGCTGCAAATAAACTTGGGGTAGAATTAAAATTTGCATTTGTACATTTTTTTTCCACAGCTGAACAGCATCAGCTGAAACGTTACCAATAAGGGTGAAAATAAGGAATAATTAGGATGATATTTCACTTGAAGTGTCCGTTGAGCCAGCCTTCAGGGAATTTCAAACCAAACTCTTATTTAATCTACAGGTATTGATTGTTCTCATCCACCTGTCCTTATCTAGGGATATTTCACCTTGTTCTGGTTTTGTGCTATTCAGTTATTACTCACCCTGTTTCCACAACTCACTATATCCCCAAATTCATGACCCAACATTTTAATCCACTAGGCTATCAAAGAAGGCTGGAGAGCACATTGGCTGAAACATTGTGATAATAATAACAAAGATGAGGATAATAATCAGGATGTAAATAGCGATAACTTCTTATTGTTGATTTCAATCATTATTGAGAATGACTGCAAAATATTTCCTCTTTTATAAGCAGAAGTCCACAAATAAATGCTGGGATATTTTTCTTTGCCAATAAAATAGTCTGGTTTACAGTTTGACATGACTCAGTCCAGATCTAGCAAGTCAGCCAGTTCACTGCCAGGCTCATGGCTGGCTTGTTGAACTCTCTACCTTTGGGCAAAGAAGACCCAGACAAGACTATGCCAAAGGGCAGAGTCACATCTGGGGAGGTAGACAAACCTGAACCCATGTATGCAGGGTCTACAGGGAACTTTTGCTTGAGCCTACAGGCTCGGAATTGCCCCACATAATAACGGCCTTGTGCCACATCCTGCCTTGTGGGGAGGCTAAGGTAAATAACCTCATTCCAGATCTGCCTTGTCGAGAAGACAGCTGCATTCACTTGTCAGACCCTGCTTTTGTGTGCAGACATCAATTCATAGTTTGTAAACTTTTTGCCTTCTTAGCTGTTAATTTGCTTTGCATATATTGTTTGCTTGCTTGATATTATTTCATTTTTGTCCTTTTTATTGCAAACTTTGTTAATTCTTTTTGTTGGACAGTTCTGTTATTTATTTTGCATTTGACCATGGCTAATCACTTAACACTCATACCAGAAATTCAAACAGAAATTTTAAATTTCTATTGATTAGCTCATCTTGATGAGCTCAATTTTGAGTTTTCCATTTGTTAATTTAAGCCTATTTAACTGTTGCAGAAAACTAAAAAAAAAAAGCCTTTGATTTTTATGCTAAAATAGTTTTCCTCTTGTTTGATGTGATTGTAGTGAGACAAAGACTTCCAATATTCTTGAGGGAAGTTGCCACGGACCATGAAGTGACACGGAAAATGAAGAGAGCTGCAAATACCATTGATAGATTCAGGTAAGCAATGGTTCTTATTTTTCTGCCAATTAACTTGAACATATTGGATTCCATCATAGAAAAAAAAAAAGGAAAATTATTCAAGCCTGAAGAGTTTGGTTTTAACATGGAGAAGTGTTTCTGTTATTTTTCCATAACTTTTTTTTTTCTGCTAATTTTACCCATTCAATTTTTTCAGCACACTCACAATGTGATTTGGAAAAACCTTCATCTTTGATTTAAATATCTTTGAATTGAGCAATGACATATGGAAAAATCACTTCCCTCACACACAATTGTTTTTATTTCTTTTTTCAATCTTTTTTTTGAATAGGGCTTAAGGGAAAATGCATATATACATACATAGCAGTGTTTTTTGTTGTTGAGGCAGGACCAATATTAATCTCACACAAAGCATGGTGGGTCCTACTTGACAAATGATATGTCATGATTTGGGGCAAGGTTTTACAAGGCTGGATGTTCTTCCTGACGTCCAACTCGAACATGCAAGGTAATCCAAATACATAGTGTTTTTATTAAGGCACCATTTCTAGTAAGGCTGCCATTCAAGGCTTGAAACCCCATCTTAGCCTTATACAAACATGTTGGCCATTGGCACCTATAAGAAGAAAGATGCTGCTGGCAGATGAGTTGTCAAGGTTACTAAAGTAAGCTATATATCTGCCCTTTAACAGGTCTTGTTTTTCATCCCATGGTGTGTTGTGCCACCCTCCTCGTCAGCAGAAAAAAAGCTAGTGGTGGAGATGGTTTAGATGCCAACAACCTGTCCATGTGGCAGGTTGTACTGGGTTTCATGTTACCAGTAGCAAGCCTAAGCCTGACCTGTCAGTAACAATGACTTTTTTTTTTTTATTTCATATTACAATATTTTTGAATATTCAATTTTCCTTAGTATATCTTAAGGAAATTTACATTTAGAAAGAGACAACTGAAATTTCTGGAACATGTAATGAGGAAAGAAGGCCTGGAGAATTTAACAATGGTCTGGATATGTTGTAGGTAGGAGAAACAGTGTGATTGTAAAGGGTAAAAAATTACTTAGAACAGCAAAATGCAGGAAGTTGTGGACAGCTATATTTGCCCAAATCCTGAAGAAACTTGAAACAAAAATAAAAAGGAGATAGCTTTAGTGTGCATACAAATATATAAAAGAAGGTGACTTAACAGCAGTTTGGAAAATGCTATTGGCGAGTCTCATTCAAATTTCAATCCTCACAGGGTACTATACTCAAGTGGCCTTGTGCCTGACTAAAGCTTTATCAATATCCGCAGGAAAGTTACAAGCATAAATTAAATAAATGCATAATTTACAAGTGAATATAAATTTCTTACTTTAGCCAATGCTTACAATGATAAAAGAAGGCAACATGACATTAAGCCATTAACTTGAACAGAAATTTTTAACATGTGAGAATTGCTTTGATGGAAATTCTATTTATCCACAGTGAATGGAATAAAAAAAGCTAATGGTGTAACAAAAATAACTTAAGGAAATGTAGGTATAATTAAATCATCTTCAAGGATTTCTTTCTATTATATAAAAATAATTTACAAGGTTTCATCATGAATACAATACCCCACCCATTTTATTGTTTTTTTTTTTTTTAAATATTCTTTTTTTATTGGCTTAATGCTAAAAAAGAAACCAATATAAGCTCAGACCAAATTTTGCAGATTCAAAATTAGAGTCCAAGAAACTGACCAGGAGGTGATCAATCCTTGTTGGCTTGAACACAATAAAGAGTGTGCTGTTTTTCAAGGCTCAACGCTCCCAGTGGCACCAAGAATAGACATTACTGATGAAAATTACTAGTAAAATGCAAATGTATGCATACTATATACAGCATGGCCTGGAATAGTTATGATGGTTCAGAGATTTCAACTTAAAATAAATGCACAGGAATTTATTTTTTTATTCCTGGAAGAAAATAATCCTGCCAAGGAAAAAAATATTGAGGAAATAATAAGGGTCCCATACCAAATAAGCACTGTACCTTAGAATTAATGGAAATAATTATTCTGACACCTGTATTTAGTACCCAAAACTACCAACAATTGGAGTGTCTATCACCAGTTAAATTAATAATATCAATCTTTTACATAAATGTTACAAATATCTATATCTATCTATCTATCTATATATATATATATATATATATATATATATAATTAATACAAATAAAATTTGTCACTTAGCTGATAAATGTTATATTCAGCACCTCCAGAGTTTTGGGTAATCATTTGATCCACTCATCAGGAGGTGTCATTTTCATTATTTTCAAATTAAGTTAATAAAGATCATTTATGCACCTTTTTATCATTGTTAGGTTGATTTTTTTTTCTTCTTTGTATATACCTGTGTATGTATGTATGCTTGTACATGTATGTATGTATGTATGCTTGTACATGTATGTATGTGCACATGTTTAAAATGTTGTGGTTATTTCTTTTCATAAATTTCTTGTCTCCTTATTCTTTCTCATTATTCCTTTTTTTTTCTGTCTTTCACTCTGAATGTCAAACATCATGTAACAATGTTATTTCCAGTGTAAGAGATTGAACTTTTTTTAGGCTAATTTTTCTTGAATATTCCGAGGTTTTCTAAGTTTTTTTAAAATATAGATGTATTCCATTCTTTTTTTTATTACTTGTTTAAATAATTGATTTTTTTTTTTTTTTTTTTTTAAATTAATGCTTAAATATATGTATATGTCTTCTGTATTTTCTGTAGTGTTCGATTGGGAATATTCCTTCGGCGTTATCCTATTGCAAGAGTTTTTGTAATTGTCTACATGGTAAGTAACATTGGTTGATCAAATGTCACTTCAAACTCTCCTATCCCCACCTGATTTTTTTTTATTTTTCATACAAATTGACTATTATTGCTTATCAAGGATTGTTTCTTATTTATGGTTGTTCACAAACTCAATCGCATTCAGATCATTTTTTCTGTGGACAGTCTGTCAGTAAATAAAATTTAAATCCACTATGGAATGAGAAAACAGCGCATATATATATATATATATATTTATATATTATATTTTTTATATATATATATATATATATATTATATATTTATATATATATATATATATATATATATATATATATATATAATCCACTGCTTAGTAATAAAATTCTATAGTTTCTATTGATTTTTGTAGAGGGAGTCAATAGTGAAAAATTTGTTGGGATTGTTTTCCTTCTTCCATGTATATATCAGGCTATTGTCTTCATCTTTATTTTAAATAAAATTTTAATAATGAATTGAGCCAGAATGTTGAGATAAAAAAAGTAACAATAATAAGATCAAATAAAATTAGTAATAAAATAATAGTAATAATGAAGAGCGTATTGAACCAGTGTTGGGATAAAAAATGGATAATAAAGGAAAACTAGTTTTTGAATAAGAATTGACCGCTTTCATTTGTTATGGAATGTTTATTTATTTTATTTTTATGTTTTTTTTCTTGTATTTTTCAGGCCTTACTTCATCTGTGGGTGATGATTGTTCTGCTGACTTATAAACCTGAAATACATTTATAATCACAATCTGTGTACAAATGTATGTATGTATGTATGTATGTATGTATGGGTTATATATATTCTAAAATATACATTATTTATGCAACTGACGACCAACTTTTTTTCATTTCCCTTTTTGACTGCAATTATTTTTTCCGTCTGGACTTGGTGCTGATGTCATTGCAGTACTGATTCTAATCTAGAATTCTTGCGGGACATTTTCACTTCAATTTCAAATATTATTTACAAATGTAAATTCTCTTGGCAGCTGAGCTGGCCGACAAATAGGCTTTTAATTAGTGTCTTCAAATTCATACTTCTAATTCATGTTGTACAGGCAAAATACAAATAAATCAGTAGTCGCATATTTCTGTGTCCAGAGCTGTTCTAAACCCTAATCACGATGATGATCAAATAGTTACAATGTCAATACCGTTGATACCATCCACTACTAAATACAGGAATACTTTGGAGATGTTGCAAGTTCAGTTCCAGACCATTGCAACAAAGCAAATTTTCTGGTTTCCTAGTGCATGTAAAAATTATATTTACTATAAACTGGATTTGCAGATGGTGTAAGGGATAGCAGCTTGAAATGAGAAATTGGAGAGGCGAGTTCAATTTTCAGCCAAGTTCGTTTCACTTACGCAAAATAACTTGGGAAAGGTATGAATCCACTAGCTATGGGTTAAATAGTAGAACTTGAATCTGGAAAAAACATTGTTATTCTCAAAATATTGTTAATGCAATATTGACTCTCATAAAAGGAATTATTTTTACAATCCTGAATATGTTTCAGCTTTAAATAACCCACAAAGAGTTGATAAACTGTAAAAAAAAAAAAAAAAAAAGAAATAAAGCAATCAATTACATTATAATCTGTGAACTATGCAATGGTTTTTTTTTTTTTTTTTTTTTTTTTTAAATAAGAAAACATGCACGTTAATTAAAGAATGTTATATTGCTGTCAAAATTTGACACCAAAGGTATGCAAATGCAGTTGGCCAACCTGCTCAATTCAGGGTTAGCATAGAATTTTGTTCTGTGAAATTTTACAATATCTTGAAATCATAATAAAATGAGGTAAGCCTGTTCTTTTGACAATGATGGTACCGTATGCTAATAATGGTATTATAAAACTATGTGAGCTACGTCCACATATGCATCAATCCAAGATTTTAATTAATGTTTGGTCAAAGGTGCAATGTTAGTAGAAACTGGTTAAAAACTCAAGAATTCTAATGATGTAGAGTTGATATGTCTTTATATGAATTGAATCAATGGAGGTATATTTTAACAATAAATGTCAGGTAGCTACATAGAAGTGATAGCAAATCATCAACCAAGCAGGCATTGGAGAAAGGGTTATTTGTCTGTAGATATTTCTGTTGTGACACTACTAAATTGAACATACGTTCCTGTCTATGATAATCAGGAAGCAACTGTTTTTACTTTGTTGACCAAGATTTTTTATTGTTGTTGTTGTTATTATTATTATTTTACCCCATGCAAGGCAATAAAGCGACTAAGACACAAGGTGGGATTACTGAGTGTGATTGAATATGAAAAAAAGAAAACATTATTAAGGAGACAGAACGATAAAAGAACAGGAATTAAGAAGACAGAAGATAAAGATTGTCATTACATTTAAATTTTTGAAGATCAAAGTTGACCGGAATGCAAAAAGCTAGAAGAGAGGTCCATAAGCAAGAAGTATGAGAGAAGAAACTTAGCATAGAACTTACAATTACATCTAGCCATTTCAACTGAAGAATGATGAGACCTTTGCCATCAATCTAGTAGTTATATGCATATGAATTTAAGCGTACTACTAGTTTAGCACCAAAGAGGAAAGCTCATCAGAACAATTACCATGAAAACTGATGTAATGAATATGCATACACTTGGGTTCCCCCTCAGAGTAATATGATTGGCTGGTGTCAACCATAAATAAGACTGATGTGGAGGTACATGGGCTACGCCTATTGCCTAAGCATATTGCCTACGACTACGATGAGTACCAGTCTATTACGGCTACCTGCTAGATTGTCCTACCCGGTTACAGCAGCCAAAACCACATGGTAAGACATGCAGTTTATGAGGATATATAGCAAAGATAATGGTTTACCCTAGACTTGAAGAGGTTAAGATTATAGTGATCAGGAGAAACATCCTATCAGGAGTCTGTTCCACAAAGTAGTGCTTTTCAAGAAGAAGCTATCTCAATGGAACTTCCTCCTTATTAATGGAATACAAAGGGAATAGGAATGATTTATCCTTGTGTATGTGGCATGATGGGTCTTAGCTGTGAGGGTCTGAACTAGTGGAACTAATAAATGTAACTTGTCAGAGCACTTGCTATGGAAATAGGGGTAGAGTAGTAGTAAGAGATTTATGAATTTTCATCTGTGGGAAAGAGCCTGTAGGGTTGAAAATAATTCCTCACCCAGAAGGTTGCATAAATGATTTTGATCTCTATCAAGGCTGGGAAGTGAAGACTGGGTAGCTCCTGTCCAGATATGGCAGCAGTACACCATTTTGGGTCTGATTTGTCTCTTGTAATGATAGAGCCTGGCAGGAGGAGTCTGGTACTTTCTGCAGTTGTGAAATATGGCATAAGTGTAGATGCTGAATTGAAATCCCTTTTCTTACATCACAAAAATAGATTTTTAGAAAAAGCAGAATATTTTCTCCAATTCTCTGTTTTCCATTTTCAATCAATGGCTTTTATATTTTAAATAGAATATAAATCACTGAATAAAGTGTAAATTTATCACATATTCAATTTATTGAAGCAATTCTTATGCTAAATACAAAATGGTCATCCATCTCTAAACAGAAAATTGGTAGAAACATGACTAAGTTCAGTAATTTCTCAAATATCTGATTATTTTTATCAGTGAAGCTCTGAAAATAATATTTATTGGAACACCAATATATAAACTTTCCCAATTAATAATGTGTACTAAGTATAGAGGATCAATTTATAAATAACAATAGAAAACTGATCTCCCACTTTATGCTCAGTGTAGTCTTTTATCAATATGCTAGTATACTTGTGCAGCCAAAATGAATGCAAATCAGATCAGTAAGAAACACACACACATCTCTCTCATATATATATATATATATATATATATATATATATATATATAGATTACTTTTAAATATCAATTTTTTTTCCCCCAGCTTTGAAGTTTCTTGGTAAAATTTCCATTCTTCAGGGGATTCTGGTTTTAAATGATTTTTTTCAATTTGTTACACATGTTTTTCAATCCATTTTTTACTCCATTTTGTACATTTGCGTATTCATGAATTTAATACTCTTTTCCATGCACACATTTATGCATTTTGCTTTTGTTTACATCTTCGTTTTTTTTCATATGTAGATTTTTCTTCCAGTTGTAAATTGATATTTAAAAGTTAAGTAATCTTTTTATATAATATTATTAATGCTCTATTTTTGAGCACTATATATATATATATATATATATATATATAAAAATATCTGCTGTTTCTTAAATCTTGTGTGTGTGTGTACATATATATATATATATATATATATTCATCTGAAGATTGCATTAGCATGAAAATTAGTGTAACAATTTATACATTTAGGCATTCAGCACTTCAGATTTTTGTTTAGCTATGTGTCTGCCTTTTTTTTTTTTTTTTTTTTTTCATGTTTTCTTCTTTGGCAGACTTCGTGCTGGTCTGGTTATTCTTTGATACTTTACTGATTACTTGATATATATATATATATATATATGCCAATTATTATTGTTGTACTCTAGCTTTGTGAACATTCTGAAATAGTTTCTTTTGTCAAAACACTGCCATCTGAAATCACCAGTGAGAGAGAGAGCTATAGTATAGCAAAACTTTACCAACAAAAAAATATAAAAAAACATTTTGCATTATATAAATTCTAATATTATTATTGTAGATTCCAATTATTTCACAGTGTTTGCAGCTAACATGATTGCATCTTTAAATTTTAAGAGAAATCTTAAAAATATACATTCAACCAAATATGGAAGGAATTCAGTTTGGATAGAAATAATGAAGAAAATACATACTTCATTATTGAAAAAGGATATTTTAAAACAAGGTTTTATAAATTTTATTTTTCATCATTTTCTTGAAAATAAACATACTGCCTAGATATATCCAGTTTTTTTTTCTTTTTTTTTTCTAGATTAAAATATTTTCCTTTGCGCTATTTATTCCTTAAAATTTTTCAATTTGAAAACTCATCATAATACTTGTGTGTTTGTTGATGGCAAAGCATTCATGTAGTTATAGTTTAATAGTGTTTATCTATGAAGTGCCATTCCAAAGTTTGAGTTTAGTTTTGTCAAAGAAAAAGAATTTCTTTATTTTTTGCAAAAAGTGGATTTACTAGAAATGTGGAATGTCTGTCAACACAAGTATAATTTGACAAATGAACAGTCCAATCATCCTAATGTTTGAATTCCTTCAGTTTCTGGGTAGAATCATTCACAAAGTTTAAGAAATGTATCCACTCCCACAAAAAAAAAACATGTGTTAAAAGGGTGTTTTTATGGGGGAGGGTGTCTCGATACTGCTTTATACTCCCTGGGCAATTGTTTTTAAAAAGTTATTTTTAGTAAGACCCAGACATATAAACTAGATACATTTTTTTTTTCCTTGGCTCTCAACCTATTTTAATGAATCTATGTCGAGAGAGCAAATGAAAGAAATGGCTGGAAAATGCATTTTTTTTTCAAAATTTATTAGTTACTCAACATTATGTGCTTATTTAAATTTTCTTGTTCTATTATCAACAGACATGTCCATACATTTATGAATAAAAAAGTTGTTTTCATACTTATTTCTTTATAAAATGATAAATATTGCATTGTTGTTGGTTCACATATTTTTTTAATCTTGTAAATAAACAATCTAATAAATAAACTGTTTAACATTTTTACTGTCAGTTCTCAAGAAAAAACAAATTTCATAAATTCAGCTTTATATCTTCTGGTTTTATGAAAATT